GCAGATGGACATATGGCATTTCAGGACATACAGTCACACAATATTCCCAGCATACATCACAGTTTCCTCCCCTCTGCCCGGGAGATAATTGAGAAGTAATTAAATTATCTCCCAGAGCAGAGGCAAATCGCCATTTTAAATACAAAGCATAAAACACATCAAAATATATAACTTTATAACTGCCGGACATTTCTCATCCCATACGCATAGTTCAATCGCCATGGAGTCAAAGTCTATTGCAGTTCTTCGGTATGCAATTGACTCCATGGGAAGGCTATCTGGGGTAAGTCCATTCGTGCCTTTAAATCTTCCGAACGGCCGGTGTTCGCACACTTCTGTCGATTGGAGAAGGGAGGTCGATGGCATCAGCGGTGTTCGGTTGAAAAAGTGTCCGTTTTCAGTTCCATGAATTTAGTACCGAACACCGCTGGTCTTTCACATGGTTTAAAATGGCCACCGCCTCGTGGTCGACATACGAACGACGACCACCCTGTATTCGGTTTTTATTAAGAAGTGTCTGTGGTTAACCGCAACGTTCTAATTGGAATCAATAGGTTAACCAGCAGCACACTTCTCTTCTGGGTGGCCGCCCGTTCGACAGTTTTGTTCGGGAAAAAAGTCAATTCACTTAAATCCAGGCATACGAATGGGTGAGTTCGTGAAACAAGCAAACAGACGAACCCAGCAATCTTAGTTCATACGGATGGGTCTGTCACAATTGAATTTGTTCTGGTGAGTAGAATCATTACCTTCAGGCTTTTTGCTGTAAACCCTGTCTTTTCAGAGACAATGCAGTGTTTACATTACAGCCTAGTGATAACTTCACTGGCCACTCCTTAGATGGCTGTTAGAGATCCTCCCTGGGTCATGGCTGCCTAAAATGCATCCAAACATCCAGTGTCTTCTCCCTCTGCATGCATACACTGAACTTTCCTCATAGAGATTCATTGATTTGATTCATCTCTATGAGGAGATGCTGATTTGCCAGGGCTGTGTTTGAATCATGCTGACTCTGCCCTTGATCTGCCTCATTGTCAGTCTCAGCCAATCCTATGGGGAAGCATTGTGATTGGATCTGGCTACCACTTCTCATGATATGAGCAGGCAGTGGGCAGGTCTTAAGGGAACAGGGACAAAGCCAGCAGCTACAGACTTGATTTTAATCAAGATTTTACTGTATTTAGGGAGGCATGATGGGTCCAGGGTAGCTAGATGGTGGTTTTAACCCTACAATGTCATGAATACATGTTTGTGTTCCTGGCCTTATAGTGCTTCTTTAACCTTTCTTCATTGCTAAAATGTTCCATTCCTTTAAATTTTTTGCCCGCCTCTGCACTTTTTCCAGTGCCATAATATCCTTCTACCGAACAGGTGCCCAAAATGCACAGCATATTCAAGGTGTGGTCTTACCAGTGATTTATGAAGAGGCAATGTGATATTCTATTCTCGAGAATTAATGCCCTTTTTCATGCATGACAATACCTTACTGGCCTTAGCCAATTAGCACACATATTCTAAACTCCCTATTGGGATTAAAAACAAGTAGTTGAGAAGCCAACTTGTAAGGAGGCCATGCTAAATTTAGTGCTAACAAATGGAGAGTTTATTAAAGACACGGAGGCTCCTATTATGCTTCTCTTTCTTTAATTTCCCTCGAAGCGAAGAGAGAGAGATGTATTCAAAAGAGAAAAAGAGAAAAAACATAACATTGCATAGCAACAGTGCTACCAATTAGCATCAACCACTTAGTATATAAGGTGTAGCACTCCCATCATTCTTCCTCTTTCTTCGCTGCTCCCTCAGACAGCTAAGTACATTACATTTTCTCTCTGCATATTATGTATTTATGTGTTTTTTCTATTGGTCTCACTGCATTATGCTGTGTATTGATGCTTATTTATGCCTTGTTTTCTCCTGGGTCTGGGGAGTGTGCCTGTCTTTTACCCATTGGTTTATCTGAATTTATCTGAATTGTTTTCATTTCCCTCTGGGCTTTTTATACTATTATTTTCTGGCCATTTATCCTTCCGGCCCGGGGATCGGCAGCAAAGGTCTCTCCCTTTCACTCGCTCCGCCTGATACCGCCGGAACCCGCTACGGCTCCTTCAGCTGCGCGTAATTTTACTTTTACTTTGTACCGCTCGTGAGTGCCTGTGGTCGCCCTCATTTTTCACCTGGACGGCTTGAATCCGGTCTCTTCGTTGTGGTAGACGGCTCTTCTCATCTGGCACATCCCCGGTCCCTGGTTTGTTACTATCTGTTTTTGGTTATTTGTCCTGGTAAGTAGATGCAAATCCATTATATATTTCTCAGGTTTTGATCAAACTTTTTCATATTTGTAGGTTGCATTAGCAATCACTATTTAAACTGCTAAACGTTATTTTACTCTGTTATAAAAATCAACCATTATATATCACCGCTGTGGTTCCATCACTCATCTATTCATACTACTCTGTTTCTGTCCTTTTTTCCTAGTGTGCTTGGTTTAAGCAATCCTTGCACCACTTTGTCCTTGATTATGTCTATTACACTGTCAATCAACAAACAGGTTGCTGGTGGCCTCACTTGCCACCCTCTTCCCCTGCTGGGGGCCCCTATCTCTGACCCTTCTACTGAGCCTGCCCCCATGGGTTCAGGGGAATCCCAGAGCCTGTTGGACACCTCTATGTCCAACCCCATTAGCAAGACCATATCATTGACCATAGGGGCTATGTCCTCCACCTTTATGTATTCTATCATGCAGGCTCTGATACAGGTATACCCTACCCATGTACCCCTTTACAAACTGCTAACGCCCCTAAGGGGGAGCTACCAGACCGCAAGGCCCTGAGCAAACGCAAACACAATAATGACCCCCCTCTCACCCAGGTAACCCCTTACTTGATTGACACGCCTCAGGCTGTCTATGATGGCGCGCAACAACCGCACATTAGAACCGCTGACCGGTCTCAAGCGGCCAGACACTAGAACGGGCATGGGCCCAAGATGTGATGTCTGATTCAGACGATAGTGGGGAGGAGGGGTCACATGGCCAGCGTCCTAATCCTTACAAGAACGAGATATCGGGAGGCGGAGACCTCCCTGGGAACCGATTCCCATCCACACCGACTCATGCAGCCCTAGCGGCTGCGCCGTCAGATATTCCTGGGTCAGACGAGGTCCGGGGCACAAAGGCGATGCTTTTGTTCGATCCAGACAATTTACGCCACCCTCGCTCTGCTGAATGGGTACCAACAGAGCATATTACTTTGTCTAGCATGGGGAGTACGCAAACCCCTCTCCCTAGAGAGTCATTACAATGGAAAGCGGTATGCCACCGGCCAATTATGCCTGACTTGGTGACGACTACCCTGTAGTGGACCCAAAATTGTACAGTTCTTGGCTTACTCCTTAAGCAATAATCAAGACAGGTTCTTAGACACCCTGGGCCTGGTCACCAATATTGTATGAGCTGCTTGAGACAGTGCAATCGGGTGATACCCAGTTGAATTTGAAGTGGCCTTTGGTTGGCTGCAACACCTGGTCTGTATGATTGGCAACGCCGTTACAGCAATGCCCACTGAGAGCAGGAAGGCGATCCTGCTAAGATCCAGCCTAGTTGGTTAGCATGGCTTCCACTGAACCAGGAACTCCCGCTAAGGGCTTATTGATTGGCGAGTCCTACGTGAGGGACCTGGGTTCATATTTAAATACCTTTACAGCTTTGGACAAGGCCCAGTCCCCGATCTAAAGGGTCTCCCACCAGAAGATTTTTCTCCTAACGAGGCAGAAGCACCTTTACCCCGCAAAGACCGGGACAAGTGAGTTCGTATACCCATTCTTTCCTACACGAGGACGAACTTGGAATTCCCATGGCGGTTGGAGACTGATCCCAGGACAAACCTCCTGAGGGTAAGTACGGTTGTGACAGAACCATCTGTCTGTGAAATACTTTTATTGTTCCCTCATTCGTCTGTTTGTTCGGCTATTCCCCTGTCCGTACAGCCCCCACGCTTTTTTCTCTTATACTGAACAATTCACCAAACAGCCCGGCCACCCAGCATGGAAGTGTGCTGCTGGTTAACCTCTTGGCATCATTAGAACGTTGTGGTTAACCGCAGACACTTCATAATTGTCGAATGCCGACTGGGTGGTCATCTTATGCCGACCACGAGGCGGCGGCCATCTTGGACATACGAATGCTCAGCGGTGTTTGTCGACAATATCATGGAACTAAAAATGGACACTGCTGAAGCCGCCGACCTCCCTTCTTCTATTCCTCTAGCATACGAACACCGGTCTGTTCGGTAGTTTCTTCCCATGAATAGACTTACCCCAGAGAGCTGTGCCATGGCAATTGAACTGTGTGTATAAGATCTGAGTGCCATTCGGTAATAATGTGCGCTCAGATCCAAGCACATCTAGGGATGTGTTGAATGTATCTATTCTGTTCGGTAGTTTTTGTATTATGTATTTTCATTACTCTGCATAAAATGGAATTTAGCCTATGTCCTCGGAGACAATTGAGTTACTTCCCAATTATCTCCAGGACACAGAGGAGGGTCTTATACAGCAAAAGAGGAGTGTATATGTCTTCAACCTTGTGATTGGCTAATGTACACATATTGTCACAGTTTTCCACCAGGTCCCCTAAGGGAGTGTCCACCTGGTGGAAGACTTGCATAAATACCGGGCAGTTAGCCCATATTAAACCAGATTCCTGCTGACCCTCAATACGGAGCTTTGTACTGTTCTTGGAGGGATTTATTTGTATGGTGATTCTCGTTCGGATGTTTGGAGTGTATCCTGTTCGGCTTATTGGAGTGATCGGTAGTTGCCTTCGAATTCGGGAAAGGAGCATCCCCAACTACATTAACCCCTTCTATACCTGAGGTACCGTAACAATGGTATATTCACATTTTTCCCCATATTAAGTGGGGGACAGACTGGCCCTGTTCCACCGAGCTTGGGTTATGATCACATCCATCATCTGGGTGTTACAGACTGTGCGGGGTCATCACTCTGGGTTAACGGTAACGGGACTGGCTACTAGATGGTCAAACACGATCTGAAGTACTCCTGGCGGGCGGTCCTCGTGGTGACGGACCACAAGAATCTGGTACGGTTCCGATGGGGAACAAGGAAATGGCGTTTTCTCATGCCCTTTCCTTTGGACGGTCCTCCGCTCCATGGTGCTTCACGAAAGTTCTGCAGCCAGTGATTCCCTTCCTCAGGCTGCACGGAACTCGGATCATTATAGAAGGGTCACCTGACAGGCCTTTGTGTCATGAATGTTTAATCTCCTGCAGGATCTCATTTCTCTTGGTGAACTGGGAGTAATCAATTTTCCTACATTCACAGAAAATAGGATGCCTGGATCTTTAGAGTTGGTTCCGTTCCGCAGATACTATGCCTTCCGGCAGAAATGGTCGCCACTAAGAAAAGAAATAAAACTGTTGTTGAACTGGACAGGCATGTCACTGAGACAGTTGGCGAGAGTCAACGGATTATTGGCCGCTTCCTTCCAGACAATTTTCCCGGGGCTTCTCCGTTATCGGGCTCATCGACGATTGAAGACATTCTGCTTAAGAGGTGGCCAATCGTACGAGACACACTTTCGAAGGACAAGGAGTCCAGGGGAATTGGTCTGGGGGCTGACCCACAGGGCAATAAGGAACGGATGAGCGATTTTCAGCTCCACTCCTTATCTCTTGATAGAATCGGTTCCATATCCAATGGAGGCAGATGGTCCGTAGATGAATCATCCCTACAAATATACTCCCCGGAATGACTAACTGCATTGTTTGCAATTCGCAGGCGATCGCTCAAGGGCATCTCCTGATCGTTCCTCCTCTAGCCGAACAACATTTTGGCTATTCGACATCAGCCACCTGAAGGGCTTCAAGCCACGAATCCTAGCAGTTTGACTCGAGTTTTTCTGGCATCATTGTCCACAAACCAACGTGTCGGTGACTGCAGTGCACAGGCCAGTTCCCGAATACTACACCACGGATTGGAACTCTTGTTACGGAGAGACAGGAAGGATTGGAGAATTCAACCAGTTGTATTCAACAAGACCACTTAGCTATGGGGACCCTTACGTGTGGATCTTTTTGCACCCAGACAGAACATGCAACTACCTCAGTCTTTCGGCTGGCGACCGGATCCAGAAACCACAACGACGTATGTGTTCCCCAGGATTGAACCACTGGCCGATTGCATGCTTTTTCTCCATTCAACCTGATGGCTCAGTCTCTGACATATCTCCGACGCTGCAAAGACACAATAGTCTTGATAACCCCATGCTGGAGGACCAAACCATGATATCCCCACCTAGTGGAGATGACAATAGATTGTCCGCGGTTGTTACCAGGTTACCCAATTCTTCTGACCATTCCAGAATGGGAGTCGCAGTCTGATGAATCAAGGACTTCTTCGTCACATGGCAGGACTCTTTCCCAGGGACCCTGGAAAATCACTGAGGTTTTGAGAACTACCCAACTCCTGGCAAATACGTGGGCACCAGGACCACGGCGTTCCTACCTTTTGACACAGAGAAGGTTGTCCAATTGGTGCTTGGAACGATCAGTGGATCCTGTATCAGCTTCTGTGAAAGTATATTGAAGTTTCTGACATATTTATTCAAATCCAGCAAGGCCTTTAGCATGGTTTACCTATACCAGCTGCCTAGGAGGGTCATGGAAGCTTGGATGGTGCCCCTATCGGACAAAATCCTATTATCTGTCGCCTACTCTAGGTATCCATTTCCCACGCCCAACTAACCCATATATGGATTCTTTTGGGGTTTTTATGGGGTGTTCAACTTCGATATCTCACAAAGAATGAAGTCTTCGACCAAACAAGTTTTACCCATGTCTACCGAGTCAACCGAATTTATACCGCTGCTACGTTTAAGGGAGTATGGATCACGCACTTCTACTTTGAGCCCGTCTCGGGACGGACCATTGTTTCTTTCAAGTATCTCATCTTCCAGTATCTCATTGCTCATTGGGCCAAATAGTTCTCTGCCTCAACCGGGGAGGATGTCAAGATGTTCTTATCTAATTCTGTCAGGGGCGCCATGTTTTCTTAGGCATCGACGATAGGCTGTAAATTGAAAGACTTCTTGAAGCCTGCGGATTGGTTTACGGAATCCACCTTCCGAAATCTTTTACTTTACACCAACCCTACACTTCTCGGAAATGGTCGTGCTCAGCTTTAAAAGGGCATAATAGGAGCCTCCGTGTCTTTAATAAAATTCCAAGATTTTACTATTAACATGACGTAAAGTCATGATTTTATTAATGACACAAGTATTATTCCCTCCTGCCCCCCCTGGTTAGGGTTGTTGGGATATACATGCTTTTCGGTAATGTGGATTGGGTTCTATTTGATAACCTATGTTTTGTTCTCATTTTGTTGTTTTTTCTTTAGACGTTAGATTGATCACTTTGGTTTTTGGGACGATGATTTGTGTATTATGACTAATGGTGATGTCCTTTTTTTTTTTCTCTGAATATGTCACTACATATGTTGATATATATGTTGCAACCAGGTGACAATTGAGATATTACCATTTTTCTCTTCTTTTTTAGCTTCAATTCTTCTATCAATGTCCTGAGGTTTGGAAGAAAGTTAAACAATTTTCCCACAGAGGATGAGCATATGACTAATATCCGGTTTTCCAGTTCGTTTCAATGTTGCAGTTGTTGGTTTTGGCTGATCTTTGGATCGCTTCAGAAAGAAGAAGAACAATGGGAGTGCTACACCTTATATGCGAAGTGGTTGATGCTGATTGGTAGCACTGTTGCTATGCAATGTTATGTTGTTTTTCTCTTTTGTATACATCTCTCTCTTCGCTGCTGAGGGAAATTGAAGAAAGAGAAGCATAATACTCGCCTCCATGTCACTAATAAAATCATGACTTTACGTTATGTTAATAGTAAAATCTTGGAATTTGAGATCAGATATTACTGTTGGTGAAAGTCACCTGCAGTGTGGTTTAATATAAGAACAGTGACTGTGCCACACCACACACTAACAAATGTTTTAGACTTTAGAAAAATACTTTTCTAAAATTAGAATATGTGTAAAGGAGTCCTTATCAGACTGGAGAAGTTTAAATTGGGTCCAAAAGAAATGGGATTGTCTAAAAGTTGCGCTACTGAAGGCAACAGAAAATAGGTTTGTCAATAAATGCAACAAATGTAAAAAAAAAAATTACAGTACTCCGTAGAAGTGATCAAAATAGTAAAAAACTAAGTTAGCAGTTGGTAATTATAAAAAAAAAAACTCAGTGAGGAAGATACAGATCTAGAAGATTAGGCAGAAAGAGCCTAAGCAAGTAATACGAACTTCCAAATCACACGCTGAAGAGAAAATAGCACAGTCAGTAAAAAGATACATAAATGAGAAAAAGAAAGTAAAATAATTAAAAACAAAAGAAGGAATCGATGTAGAAGGTCTAGCTGACTGCCTAAATGAATATTTTTTTTCAGTATTTACAGATGCAAATGAAGTAAAGGGGGGGGCCTCAGTTAGGAAAAAGGACAAATAAGTCATCCATATTATGTCCGTTGCCACAGCTCCGACCTTTTTTTCTAGTTTGGCAGCGGTGGGATGGCGTCCTAGTGCGAGGAGTAGCAGCTCGGAGACACCGGTAACGTGTGGAGTTACAACTAGAGGGATAGAGCTAGCTACCGTGCAGCATCCCTATCTACAGCAACATGGAGCAGGAGCTCCTGTCCCTGCAGGATGGGCCTATATCAGAAGAGGCCATGATGGACTACTGGGAAGCCGCCAGAAAGGAACTTGACGAAGCGCTGGAGGATGTGCAGTGTCAGCAAGGTGAGAGGTGAGAGGCTCCCCAGTGAAGAGCAGCGGATCCTGAGGCAAGTGGCTCTGCGAATGTCTTTCCTGGGAGAACAGCTTCTGGACGAGTGGGTAAAAGAGCTCGAGAGACTGGTATGGAAGGAGATTTGGTTGGAGGACGTGTACCAGGCCCTTTGGTGGTACAAAGTGCAGCATACCACTGAGATAGAGGAGCTCGATAGGCCTGAGGGGGACGAATACGATGGTCCTGGTCTACTACTAGATGCCATGGAGGAGGAGCCTGATTTCGGCAGCACGGAGGATTTCCGAT